GGGTTTTAGCAGGTGATGGACGATGTGATTCTGGCAGAGATTACGAGGTGTCCTCTAATTTTCATTCTCTTTTTCTTCCCATGTCCTAGAACCCTGGACATAAGACTTCACAAAATAAAGACTACATTTTCCAGGCTCCCTTGAAGCTGAGTAGAGCCATGTGACTAAATCCTGCCTAATAGGGTATAAGCAAAAACAGCCTCGAGGAAATGTCCTTCAAGAAAAGGGACACATCTTCCTTAACCCTCTCTTACTTCCTGCTGGCTGGAATGCAGAAGTGATGTCTGATGCTTAAGCAGCCATGATGAACCATGAAGAGAAAACCACTTGCCAAAGATGCTACAGAATAGAAGGTACCTGGGTGGAGCCCCTGCCACTGTGGAGCACCATGCCGGCCCGGGACCTCCTACCTCCAGATTTTACATCAAAGAGAATAAACTCCTGTTTTGCTTAAACCACGGAGATTTGGGGTTTTCCTCTTACACATGGTCCATTCTGACACAGTGGACTTGACACAGTGCTAGAGTGGCTGGGGGTCATCTCTGAATGGATGTTCGAAGAAGGCCTTTTGCAGGGGTAACATTGATCTGAGGCCTGAATGGTGAGAAGGAGCAGCCAGGGGAGACTGGGGAAGAGCAGCCAGGCAGGGTGGGGAGACACAGGCAGGAATGACGCAGGTGCCTTAATGGAGCAGGAGGGGGTGGTGAGCAAAGGGCAGGAGTGGCCTGAAGTAGGAAATGGGTGTCACCCCACATTGGGGGGGAAGTCACAAAGGATTTTACATGGGGGAATGATGTCTTCTGATGTTTCTAAAAGATCTCTCTGCAGGGCAGCTGGGTGGCACAGTCAGTTAAACATCTAACCCTTGGTTCTGGCTCAGGTCATGATCTCACAGTGGTGGGATCAAGCCCCACCCTGGACTCTGAGCTCAGCACGGAGTCTGCTTGCGATTCTCTCTCCCTCTGCCCCCCCCCCAACACACACTCTTTCTCTCAAATAGATAAATAAATCTTTAAAAATATATAAATAAATACATAAAATAAAAGGTCACTCTGGGTGCTGGAGGGCACCTAGGGGGCTCAAGTGAAGCCAGGAAATCAGATGGGAGGCTCCTGGGTGGTTGAGGAGTGAGATGCCAGGGTACAGGATTCCCAGGGAGGAAGGGTGGGCTGGTTCATCCCTAAGCACCTTTCCAGGTCCATCCCCCCACCTCTCCTATTCTCCCAACCCCACATCCCTCACCTGCCCTGAAGACAACTGGTCCATTCATAATGTCCAAGGATTACCGCCCCACTTCCATTCCTCCCCGTGCCCCCTGGCCAGCTCTGTACCTCCAGTTCACGCTGTACCTCACTGGTCCTTCCACTCAGGAGGCCTTGCTCCCTCTTCTGATGCACTTTCCTAAGACTCAACTCATAAGACTTCCTGGGGACATTTCCACTTCCCAAATTGTTCCCAAGCCCCCCCATCCTTTATTCGCACCCCTGTCATTGCACTCTGCATTGTTATGTGCTACCATCCACACTGGACACCAATCTCTTGAGGGTGGCTGCTGTGTGATTCAGCTCTCATGGCTCCTTCTCCCCCTACACAACCCAGTCACTTACCTGTGTCCAGAGCAGATTATGTTTTCAAGCCACTTCCCAACTTCATTTCATTTGGTCTTCACAATAGGCCAGAGAGGAAAACTAAGAGTGGAGAGACGATATGGCCAACTCAAGGTCACCTATCCGCCTAGGTCACAAAGCCCCCTGTCTCAGCAGTTCCACTGAACCTAGATGTCTCAGCCATGGGGCACCTTCCCATGGCTTGAGTCCCCAGCTCCTGAGGGCACAGGAAGTCATATCTTCACCAGGAAATACCCATGGGCCCCTCCAGGTCACCTGGCCAGACCTTGTCTCCTCTGGTAGCATCCTGGCTCTCTTCAGTGGGTTACTCCATGCCATCTGGACATCCCCGTCACCTGAGAGGCCATTGCAAACCATGGCCCTTTTTGCTCTGTACATAGGCCCAGATCTCCCCACCAGTGCCTGCAGGGGAATTGTCCAGCAAAGCTTTGCTGGTGGCTTGAGGAGAGCCACCAAATTCACCCAATGGGTTCCCAGAAGCAGGTGTGGGATTATGAGCTGTGTCTGCCTTCAGTGGTCCCAGGCCCAGGCTGTTTCACCGAACACCTCATTGTCAAGTCCATTGCAAGGGACAGCTTGCTGAATTGCCATGAAACCTCCCTTTCTCATGTGAAATTTCAGCCTCTGCTCCTTCAAGCCAAGAGAGAGAAGGCAGTCTCCTTTCCAAGGCCTACTGCCACGTCCTCACCTCTCACTGAGGACTGACTACATCCCGGGATGATGGAAAGTGAGAAAGTCTCATCCCTTCTGGAGAACTATACCCCTTGCCCAAAGGCTCTTCCTCTGGAGCAACCTATCCCAACCCACAATCTGGGCTGTGTGATCTGGAATGACATCATATGGGCAGTACAGCCAGGCCCCTGCTCAGGGTGGGCTTCCTCAGGCTCAGCCTGAGAGGGCCACCCTTAAGCTTACCTTGTACCTGCTGACACTTGGCCTTGGCTCCCGACCTTCCATGGGCAGACTGGGATGTGGACACCCATGGACCTTGGGGAGGGGAACATGATAGGCTCTTCCCTTAGAACCAGGAACTGGGGGTGGCCGGGGGCGGGGGGTGGACAGGAAGGATGGCAAGCAGGACTCTGTGGGAAGAGGGAATCAGGATACCCACTCAAGCATCCTCAGGCCCTGCTTCATTTTCTCAAATGCCAAGCTTTCTGACCACCTCGGTCTGGGACAGGGGTATGGCTAAAGGGAGGCAAGCCTCTCTCTTATTTCCTCAGCACCTAACTCAGTGCCAGGCATGTGGAATCTTCAGATGAACTGAAGTCCAAGTTGGAATGAGTGATAGGAGCCATCATTTCTTCCTGGAAAAGCATAAACAAGCCAAATGTGATGGGCAGATTTGGGGAAACATCGACATTAATTCAGGGCAACAGACGACCTAGAACACATGGTATGAGTAGAAAGGATCAGATGCCAACCTGCTCTGCTGCTGTTTGAGTGTCTGGTGGGCGGTCTGGGCATGGTACCTGCAGAACAGCCGAACAGCTGCGCCAACTGCCCTCTTAAGCCAGATGTTCCCACCCCCACCCCCACTCCCAGCTGCCAGTCCTTTCTGGGTCTGGGGGAGGGGCTCCCTTGCTGCCTCCTGCACTCAGCCACCTCTCACTTCCAGGGCAGGCAGATGGGCAAGGTGCCCGGACCCTCTGGGCTGTGGTGAGAGGGCAGGGCCTTTGCTTGGCATTTGCTGCCACCGCAGGGAGCAGCCCAGTCTGGGTAGGGCTTGAGACAGATTGGACCGGCCCACAGAGTGAGCACCAGGACAGGAGGGAGGAGGCACCCCCAGCTGCCTTCAGCCAGGGCCTCTGTTAGCAACTGGTGTGAAGGGCAAGGGGGGCAGGAGGGAGCACAGGGCTTAGCATCAGGCAGAGAGCAGGCCTGAGTGCCAGCTCCCGCTCCAGCAGCCAAGAGGTCTGGGGCCGGTAGCCCACTTCCCCGCCCCTGGCCTCCTCGTCTGTCAGAGAACAACCACCAGGGGTGCCTTCCTCAGAGGGGCTTGGAGACAGTGTCTGTCCATCGGTTCTTCTTTTCACTAGGGAGCAACCTGACTGCTCTGTCACTTTGTGCCTCCTGTTGTGACCGCCAGGTCAAGCTCCCAGCACAGTGTCCACACACAGGAGGAATCAGCTCCGCATCTGAGCAGCTGCCCCCTTTCCCACTCTGCTGGGCTTGGCACAGGGCAGGCTCGTGGTAGGGACCCAGGAAATGGTGGTGAAACTGCTGGATACGCCACCTCTCTGTCCCTGTCTCCGAGCCTGAAGCAGGGAACCCTGAGGCCAAGGGCCACATAACTGGGTGCTCTCCATTCACAGTAAGGACACCGAAGCCCAGAGAGGGCAGGCATTCGCCCAGGGTCCCACCAGCCAGTGGTTTCTGGTGCTGGGCGAGGATGGCTTCCTCTCTGGCTGCCCAGAGCAGGATCTACAAAACCCCCCTTTCTGTCTGCTTCCGAGCCTCTCTTCATTCTTGCCGATCTGAACTCATTTTTCAGTCTCTGCTTCTCTAACCAGAGCCAGGGAGCAGGTGCCTGGCCGCAGCACCCCCAGGAGCAGAGGTTGCCCTGCTGGGGGGTGTGGGCAGGGGTAGGGCGGGGGCCGAGAATGCGGGCTGCTCTGGCCTGGGGGCCTGGGCCAGGCTGCCAACAGAGAAGCCAGTGTGCCCAAACATTGGGGCTTTGTGAGCTCTGAGCTCCGTGTGGGGAAGGTTGTTTGTGTTGACCTGACATTGTTTCAGGTTGACTGAGGGGCTGCATCTTAGAACCCAGGGCCTGGCTCTTTGGAGCCACCCGGGGTCTTAGGGGAGAGGTGGCTCGGGAGGAAGCAAGTCTGGAGCGAGAAGGGGAGGGCGCTGCCTGGACCCTGTGCGCACTGAGCAGGTCCTGTGGGCAAGGCTGTAGAGCGAGAGTGAGTTCTGGGAGAGGACACCAATGGGGAGAAGAGAAAGCACCTGTGTATCTTGGGGCCAGAGTAGAGGAGCCTGGCCAGAGCGAGGACAGACAGACGCAGGACAGGGGCATCCAGAAGCTGTGGCAGACCTGCCAGGAAGCTGAGCGCTTGAGAACCCAGCCCTTGAACCTTAGTACACGAAGGAAGACCCAGGAGAGTCCTTGGGAGCCAGGAAGGCAGCAGGAAGCCTTGGGGGCTAGCTGGCTGGGGTGGGGTGGGCCAGACTCACAGCTGTCCAGATGTGTGTGAGAGATAACTCTGTTTACTGGGCACCCAGAAGGAGTAGGGCGGGGGGTGGGAAGGGGCTCCCCAGGACCGTGGGGCGGGCAGATTAGGAGGCGGGGGCATGAGTCAGGGGTTTGGGAGCTGCCCCCGGGGTTTGGGAGCCAGGACTTGGTGCTGTTAGAGCAGCTGTGAGCTCAGCTGGTGGCAGAGGACACCCGTGGCTGAAGGAGTTCGCTGAGGGACCCTCAAGGCTTGTGAGCAGGTGAGCAGGGTTGGGAGGGGCTGGAGGTGGTCTTAAGGGCTGCAGGTGCCCAGCCTGAAATCTGTGCCCAGGTGGACACAGATGCCTGACCTCCAAGGGGGTGCAGGTGGGTGGGATGAGAACCATAGGATGCGTGTTGTTCCCCCTAAGGGCACAGGCCCGTTGGCACCTGTAGCTGCGGGGTGCGGGGCTGCAGGTGTTAGGAAAAAGAGGCTGGCACGTGGCAACAGAAGTATGTGTGGCTGGTGGTGGGGGGCACAAATGTGCTCCCCCTCCAGGTGCAGGTCCTTTTCAGGTTCTTCTTTACCAGCCCCTTGGATCCCACAGACTCAGGTCTTAGCCCCCAGCCCCCTCTTTCCTGCATGGCTGGGGACCCACAGGCCATCCTATCTCCTTCTTCTGAGGACAGTTGTCCACTGACGCTGCTTCCCCTCTGGGACACTTCCAGGGAGTTGACCAGGCAGACCTGGCACTGTGAGGCAGGAGTAAACTGTGGCCCTAAAAGATCTCTCCTAGGGAGAGAGCCTAGGGAGTGTTTGGAGGGAAAGGAGTTCCCCATCCCCCCAGGATCTCAAAGCACTTGGGCTGATTCCATGGGAATTATAGGAAAATCAGAGAGAGATAAAGACAGCAAGTCTGAGTTGGATCACAGTCACAGGGATAATGATGGCAAACATTTACGCGGAGCTCTTTATGGGTCAGGCATATTCTAAGTGCTTTATGTACATCAACTTACTCAGAGCTACAACAGGCCTGTAAGATAGGCATCATTATTATGACCCCACTTCGCAGATGAGAAAACCGAGGCACAGAGAGGTTGAGTCATTTGCCCAAGGTCACACCGTAAGTGGCAGGGCTAGGATCTGAACCCAGGCAGTCCAGCTGGAGAGTCCGTGGTTTTTTAACCAGTGGCACTAAGCCAGCCTGGAGCTGTTTTCTCTTCTGGGAGGCAGCTCAGCGTGATGGCTAGAGATGTAGTTGGAGTCAAGTAGGGCCACAGTTTAGTCCTGCCTCTGAGATCTACCTGCCAGAGGACCAAGACAAGTTAACCTCTCTGAGCCTCAGCTTTCTCATCTTAGTGACATTACCCACTTCACAGAGTGGTTTGAGGATTATGAGAGATAAGGCAATACAGCTTTGTGCGGTGTGGGGGCAATTACACAAAGGCAGTGCTATGCCACCAGGGAGCCCTCCCCGTCATCTGGTCGTTCCCCCCACCCCAGCCTCTGCCAGCTGTGCCCCACCTCCGGGGCTCCAGATGCCATGCTACCCTTATCTGGCCTTGCCCTGGCTGGCTGGCTGGCCAGGTGTTTGGTGAGCTTCCAGACGCAGAGCAGTGATCGGGTTCTAAGCTCTTATCAGTGCCAGAGCAAGGCCCGAAGCTGGGGAGTGGGGGGGCTGGGCCCAGTGGAGGCTGCAATCTGGGTCATGGGTGCACCCTCTAAGGCCCCAGCTGAGCTCAAGGCACCTCCGTTCTCCCCTCTTCTCTCTCACTGAGGTCTCAGAACCCTGGTGGGAAGGTGCTCCCGTTGTCCAGATGGGATGACCGAGTCCTAGAGAGAGGCTGGAGCAGACAGGCAGCCTCCTCTGGCTCTGGAGGTCCCCTCTCCCCAATCCACCTCTCAGATAGGAAGTGGAGGGCAGAGCCCAGCCCCACGGGTGGGACTTTTAGCACCTAAGGCTAATACCCTTGAGACGGCTAGGGATTTGAGGTCCAGGCAGAGGGCAAGGCCAAAGAAGGAAGGAAGAAAATAGAGATGGGACTGTCCCCTGGTCATCACTTCCCCTGCCACCACCGCAAGGCAGGAACCCCTGCCCTTTGCAGTTTGGTGGGGCTCTGTATGCTCTCTCCCTATCTCTATCTCTCAGGGCTGCAGCACTCCCCCCCCCCAGAGAGAAATGTCTCTGTAGCCCTCTTTCTGTACGTCCTCCCTGCCCTGTTCCCTCACATAACAGCCGGCCCTGTCTAGCACGCTCCGACCTCTGCACGGTCCTTCTTACACCCGGACCATCCTTCCCCCCTCTCAGCCCTGCACATCCCTCCAGCCTCCTCGGCCCAGCCCCAGTGTCCCCTGCTCAGAGACACTCCATCCCCCATGCCACCAGTAGGCCCTCCTTTTCGTCCTGCCATATGATCCTTGGCACCCAACACCTTCTGCTCATTTCTCATTTGTCTGGGGGACATATTGTCTCCTGAAGCACTTGGCCTGTCACACGTTCCCAACTTGCCTCCCCACTCAGGGCAGGGGGCTTTTCAAGAGGAGGGGCAGCATCTCATTCATCTCAACTCACACCGCTCAGCACCATGTGGGTACAGAGTGGGGATGTGTGCCACCTGCCCCCAATCCCTGTTGCTGGAGCACCCTGCCTGCAGTGGGTGAGGGGGAAAGGGAGTCCTTGCACACCCAGTCTGGGGCCACCCTAGGGGACTTCTGTGCTCCCCTTGGGCTGGGCCTCACATTCCTGGGGTGAGCATACTTCCTCTCTGCCAGAGACATAACTGAGCAAAGCTGATGCACAGGCTTGGCCGCCTCTTGGCTAAGTCCTGCCTCCTCAGTCCCAGAGGCCCAGGCCTGCAAGGGGGAGCCGCTCTTACATTCACCCGGCATATATTTATTGAGCACCTACTTACTATTTACTATGTGGCAACCATTGTGCTAGGAGTAAAGGATTCAGTGGGGACCAAGATACGGATATTAGCACTCGAGGGGCTTCCCTTCTAGAGGCATCCTCAGACAATATATACACAAATGAATCAAGAAACCAGAAAATGACAGATTGGGTTACTGAATGTTAGGGTGGTCAGGAAGAGAATCTGAAGAGCTCAGATGTGAGAAAGGATGAGGTGGGGGAGAGGGGCACTGAGGATATGGACAACTGTGTGTGCAAAGGCCCTGGGGCAGGAAGGGCTTTGGTAAGAATGATGGGATACATGAGGAGTGAGCAAGAGAGATGGAATTCAAGATGGAGTGGAGGAGAGAAACGAGGCCATATCATTCAGCACCTCTGAGACACTCCCTAAGATGCTACAGCCCCACGCCCAGCAGAAAGTAGCTGTTTCTGGGAGAAGAGGGTATGTTGTGAAGACTCTCATGGGAGCTAAGTTCCTTGAAGAAAGAATAGGTCATGCCCCTGGAGCTGGCTAAGTCCTAGGCATGGACAGGAGAAGAAGCCAAGTGAGGATTGGTAGATGGAAGGAGATGTTGAATTCGAGGGACACCCCCACCCTCTCAAACACCCTCTGATTGATGGGTCTTCCTGCCTGAGCTCTCCTGTCTCCTATACACCTGTCCTCACACCAATAAATCTAGCTCCTTCCCCCACCCAACCCCCACTTTCTTCCCCTGCCTCCTCTGCCTCCCAACACCTGGGATCCCCCTTGACTCAAATATAGCCCCCTCTGGGGGAGGATCAGGAGACCCCAGAATGCCCTGTCCCTCACTCAGCCTGTGCTCTCCCACCTGCAGGGACCCGCAGTGCGGGTTATGCTGGGGGCTTGGATCATCGTGGACAATGGACAACCAGGACAGCACCATGGAAAAATGGCAGGTGAGTCTTTTGTGGTATCTGCCGGGCTCCTATCTGGGGACTCTGGGAACCCAACCCTGGACTCCTACCTTCATGGTGGCTTGAGAAGCCTTCCCAGCCCAGCCCTGATGGCCACTTCCCATAGGACGACCATGAAGAGGGGCTGGAGGACACTCTGGAACAGGAGGAATATGAGGAACAGGACCCGTATGTCCCCATGGTTCAGGTGGAGGAGCCAGTAGGTGAGCCCCATCTCTCTCGCTCTCTTCTCTCTCTCTTCTCTCTCTGTCTCTGTCTCTCTCTCTGGGATGAGCTGCTGATCCCCAGACAGAGAGACAGTAGGGGAACTTGTCTTCCCCCTTCTCTACACCCCCTCCTCCCGCCAGCCCCAGGGCCAGTTCTCCCACAATCCTGGCTGATTGAAGGATAAACAGAGTTTTGTTTGAAATGATCACAGGAGGTGACTGGGGGTGGGGGTGGGGGCAGGACTAGTCACCCATGGCGGGGCCCTTCGATTTGGGATAGGGCATCCAGGCCTGTCTGTGACAAGGGCATGAGCCCACATGCCATCTGTGACCATCCAATGCTGACTTCTAGGCCAGGCACTGGGCCGATTCTAGGAACATCATTTCTGTTTGGGGGTCTAGAGGTCCTGAGAAATGAGCGGCTGTAGGGACCTTCAGGGAAGAAAGACATCAGGAAACCTTCCCGGCTCTGCCAAGGTCTCAGTTGGGGAGCCCCAGGGGGGCACCTGTTTACTGTCAACAGGACTTAAGTGCTGGCAATTGGTATTGAAGATAAGAGGCCCCTCTGGGAAATGAGGACTGGGAGTGGGGTGGGAAGTGGGGGTCAATATAAGGCAGAGCCCACCCTGGCTCCCAGAGCTCCACCAGGAGACGGGGAGAAGAAGGAAGGGAAACTGATCCCAGAAGGTGCCAGAAGAAGGAGAAGATCCTAGGAGAATCCTGAGAAGTGCCTTTCGGGACGCTCCACTTTGGAGGTGACCTCTCTGTCACCACTGAAGATGACTCCCGGGGGTCTTCCGCAATGCTTGGATGAGGCGTAAAAGAGCCAGGCTGCGCCAAGAACAGGCACAGGGAGCCACAGACCATTGAACAGCAGGAGTGGGGTGGAGTGCAGTGGGGTGCAGGCACCCGGGTCCTGGCCAGTGGCAACAGGAGGGAGTGGGGATCATCTCATGCTGCTCTCAGAAGCTTGCAATGGAGGGGCACCTGTGGAGTGGAGGAGGACCCTAAGGGAGGGATTACTGGGGGGCAACACTCACCCACTTTTGGGTTTCAGCTTACCCCACTGAGCCGACAGCCACAGATGAGGACACCGTAACACACCCAGACACCACACCACGTGCAGGTACCCATGAGGTGAGGACCCCCGGCATTCCCCGGTTCTCTTTTCTGTGCCGCCTGTGAACATACCCTTCTACCAGGAGAAGGGAGGTAAAGAGGGATAGGCCCAGCTGCAGCAAGGGGGATCCCCACAAGCAGGCAGGGCAGGGCAGGAGTGGACATCTCAGGAAATAGACCAAAGGGAAGAGGACACCCCTGTGGAGGGAGGAGACCTGGGTCTCTCTTCCACTGAGCAGGGAGCTCCCTGGGCAGAGATAAAGGGATTGCCAGAGGTCTGTGCTCTCGGGCCCTCTGGCCTTGGCTGGGCTGTCAGGTGCTTCCTGGGGAAGCACCGAATTAAATACGTTCCCCCTCTGCCCAGGCCCTCCTGGCCTTGCACATCCCCGCTGGGCATCAGACTGTCTAGCTGGTTAGGAAATTGGATCTACCCTCAGCTAGGCTCCTGGGAGCAGCCACTTGGCCCCAAGGAAACCCAAAGGCATGTCGAGCCCACTCAACAGTCTTGGAGGCAGGAGACCCACCTGATAACCCCAAAGGCTCCCTTTTCTTTCTCCTCCCAGGTGTCCATTCTAGCATCCCTTTTGGTCCAGAGGTTCTCCAAGTGCCTCTGAAATAGGGTGAAGGAGCTGGGGAACAAAGCCAGAGTTGTGGGCTGTTCTCCCCCACCCCACCCCAACTCCCTACCTTCTCAACCCAGCCAGGCTGCTGCTTCTGCCAGTCCCCTCTGAGTTCTGGGTCTGCCCTGAGTGCTCCAGGACTCTGGGCCTCCTCCAAACATCTCTTGGAGCCTGTTTAATGCCCACCATGCTCCCCCCAGAGTCCCACCTTGGGGCCTGAGACACTGATTCAGGCTTGTGGGGCTGCAGATCTATGTGGAGTTGCAGGAACTGGTGATGGATGAGAAGAACCAGGAGTTGCGGTGGATGGAGGCAGCGCACTGGGTGCGGCTGGAGGAGAACCTGGGGGAGGACGGGGTCTGGGGCTCCCCACACCTGTCCTACCTCACCTTCTGGAGCCTCCTGGAGCTGCAGAAAGCCTTCGTCAAGGGTGAGCCCTGCTGGTCCCCTCTGCAAGACCCGCACATAGGCATGGTGGCGGGCAGGAGGGCCACCACCCAGCCATCCAGCTCACCCCTCCACCCCTCACAGGCACTGTCCTCCTGGATCTGCCAGAGACCTCCCTAGCGGGAGTGGCCAACCAGCTGCTGGATCAGTTTATCTACGAGGAGCAGATTCGGCCTCAGGACCGAGACCTCCTGCTCCGGGTCCTGCTGCTCCAGCACAGGTGCCCCTGCCTGCCAGGACCTGGACTCCACAGTCAAGGGGTCCACCTGCCCAGCCCACCTGCCCCAAGCTCTCCCTGGAGACCCAGGTGGTCCCTCCCCCACCAGACCAGGGCCCACTTTCTTCCACGATGGCTCCTGCCTCTGACACCTCTTGAAGGGTGACCATGTCTCCACGTTCTTGGGAGTGCAGGCTCTCAAAGCCCCTCCCTCCCTCCCTCCAGGCTCCACCTTGTCATTCCAGACACAGACCATCCGCTTGCATCCATAATGTCCTTCCAAAGAAGGCTGATTGTCCCTCTGCCCCGGGGTCCCTCTAGTCTGGTCACTGGGAAGCCCCACCTGATCCCTCCTACCACTGGTCTCCGTGCTACTAACATCCCAGTCTGAACAGCTTCACTCAATCCAAGTCCCCTGTGTCCCGCAGCCACGCCGGAGACCTGGAGGCCCTGGGGGGTGTGAAGCCCGCGGTTCTGATGCGTTCTGGGGACCCCTCACAGCCTCTGCTCCCCCAGCAACCCTCATTAGAGACGCAGCTCTTCTGTAAACAGGTGAGGCTGTACCAGGGCTATGAGCAGAGCCAGAAAGCTACCAGCCTGAGATGAGGAGAGGGCTGGAAGCTCAGAGTGGCCAGATGATTCCCCTCACCACCCTCCTTCCACAGGGAGAGGGGGGCACAGAGGATTCACCATCTAGAATTCTGGAAAAGATTCCCCCAGATTCGGAGGCCACCCTGGTGCTAGTGGGTAAGCAGCTGGTGCCTCCCCTGATCCCCATAACCCCTCCATGCCCCCGCTTCTGCCTCCTGTCCCGGCCCAGCCTCCCTCTCTGTCAGCACAGACCCAGTGGCCCCCCTCAGCCTGTCCTGGCCCCTTCCCCTCACAGGCCGAGCGGCGTTCCTGGAGCACCCGGTACTGGGCTTCGTGCGGCTGCAGATGGCCACAGAGCTGGACGCTGTGGGGCTGCCTCTGCCTGTACGCTTCCTCTTCGTGTTGCTGGGACCCGAGGCCCCCAACACCGACTACACCCAGCTGGGTCGGGCTGTTGCCACCCTCATGTCGGAGCGGGTGAGGAGAGGCTGGCGGGGCCTGGGGGAGCCTGAGGGCTGGGTGGCAGCTGAGGTCACTCACTGGATAGGCACTTTAGTTTTGCTAGTCTGGCATGTTCAGTCTAACCTGGCTGCTTTGACCCTGTCTGGCCAGGGGTAGGTCGTCTGGGCTCGTGTGGTCTGGCCTAGCCCTGCCTCATGGGGCCTGGGTGAGGGCCACTCTGACCTGGTTCTACCCGGTTAGGTCTGGCCTGGTCTGGTCTAGCCTACTTGGTTCCATCTGGTCTGCTCTAAGCTCCCCCTGGTTTGTTTTAGTGCTTCTCCTTTCCCCACTCAAGGGCCCATCTGCCTCTCCAAAACCCTTTTGTGGTGGGCACAGAAGTAAGGGGGTGGCAGGGCAGGCCATTCCTAGCAAGAGGGAGCTGGGTGAGAGGGTTCTGGCCCTGGAGGCCATGGATGTGGACGCTTGGGTCCTCTGGGCTGGCAGGTCCAGGCAGTCCTGACCCCCTCTCTGGCCCACAGGTGTTCCGCACTGATGCCTACCTGGCCCAGACCAAAGAGGAGCTAGTCCGCAACCTGGACTGCTTCCTGGACTGCAGCCTTGTGCTGCCGCCCTGCGAAGTCCCCTCAGAGCAGGCCCTGCTCAGTCTGGTGCCCGTCCAGAAGGAGCTGCTGCGGAGGCGTTACCTGCTCAGCCCCGCCAAGCCGGACCCCCACTTCTACAAGGGCCTAGGTACCTGCCCCGAAGCCCCCACAGATCCTTAGATACCTCAGCGCGGCCCCGTAAGCCACTGCCTCCCCTCCTCCCATCCAACACCCCGGCGTCCCCTCTCTCTGTCCTCATGCCTCCCAGCCTTCTCGACCACCCCATTCCCATCAGAAGATACTATCCACAATTCCTCTCTCCCCATACCTCCTCCTGTGACCCCCTGTGACCATGGTCCTGTTGTTGACTACAGATTTGAATGGGGGACCCGGGGGCCCTGGTGAGTCCGATGACCCTCTGCAGCGAACAGGCCTGCTCTTTGGGGGCCTGGTGCGTGACATCCGGCGCCGCTACCCCCTCTACTTGAGTGACATCACAGACGCGTTCAGCCCCCAGGTCCTGGCCGCTGTCATATTCATCTACTTTGCTGCCCTGTCACCTGCCATCACCTTCGGCGGCCTCCTGGGTCAGTGGCTCTGCATGACCCCCTAGCCCTCACTCCTGACCCTTTGGCCTCTGTGTCGGCCCTGCCTTCTGTTCCAATCTGACAGTCCAGACCCCTACAACAGCCTGTTTGGGAAATGCTCAATTGGACCTGGAAATGACCTCTTGACCTTGACCATTCTGTAACTTCTACCCACAGGAGAAAAGACCCAGAACCAGATGGGGGTGTCGGAGCTGCTCATCTCCACCGCAGTGCAGGGCATCCTCTTCTCCCTGCTTGGGGCTCAGCCCCTGCTTGTGGTTGGCTTCTCAGGACCCCTGCTTGTGTTTGAAGAAGCCTTTTTCTCGGTAGCTCTGTTCTGGCCCCACTCTGTCCGTGTAGCTGGCCCTAGCCCCACCTGCCCGAGGCACGGTACTTGGGCCCACCTGCCTGACCCAGTCCTCTCTGACCCCCTTGCAGTTCTGCACTAGTAACAACCTGGAGTACATCGTGGGTCGTGTGTGGATCGGCTTCTGGCTCGTCCTGCTCGTGGTGCTTATGGTGGCTTTCGAGGGCAGCTTCCTAGTTCGCTTCATCTCCCGCTACACCCAAGAGATCTTTTCCTTCCTCATCTCCCTCATCTTCATCTATGAGACCTTCGTCAAGCTGGTCAAGGTGGGGGCCATGGGAGTGTTGACGTTGTGCAACTCTGTGCACATACCATGTGGCCGTGTGCGTCACTGCACAGGTGTCCTTATAGCACGTGTGTGGCTGTGTCTTCATCATGTGTAGCTATGATCACATTCACGGCAACACCTGCTGCCTGTGGGCCGGTACTCTGGCCCTGACCATGCGGAGTACCTGCCTGAGTGGGCATCTCTGTGTGAGCATGTCCAGTGTGTATGTGAGACTGAACCTGGAAGACTGGGTTCATGGAGAGGTAGCAGGGGTCCCAGAGGCTCTGATGTCCCTCACACCCACTTGGGGACTCACCCTTAAGAACCCACAGGGCTGGGGTGCCTGGTTGGCTCAATCGGTTAAGCATCAGCCTTGGGCTTATGTCATGATCCCAAGGTCCTGGGATTGAGCCCCACATCAGGCTCTCAGCTCAGTGGGAAGCCTACTTCTCTCTCCCCCTCTGTAGCTCCTCCTGTTTGCCTGTTCTCTCTCTCTCTCTCTCTCTCTGATAAATAAATACTATCCTTTAAAAAAAAAAAAAAGAACCACAGGGCTTGTGGGTGGAGCACTCTGCCTCCTCAGCTCCACTACTTTAAACTACGCCTACCTCTGCATCTGCATTTTATATAGAGGGAGGGTGGACACTGCATGTCTGCCTCTGACTCTGTTAGTTGGTGGGGATTTCTGTTTCCAAGTCTTTGAAGCCCTTTTTAGGAGCCTCCTTGGCACTTGTTTCCTGCCCACCAGCCTTCTCATGTCTCCCAGGTCCTGAGTGCTGACATGCACACATGTATACTCATTGCTGTCATGGTCTGCCCCACCCAAGCTGAGCCTGGTCTCCACTTCTGAAAACTAAGCTATAGAATCCCATTGTCTCTTTGTTTTCCTCTCAATTGAGGATGAAGATAAGTGAATGGATGGATGATAGATGTATGGATGGATGGATAGATAGAAAATGATAGATGATGGACAGATTGATGGATGGATAATGGGGTAGATGGATGATAGGTGGATGGATAGGTGGATGGATGGATGAATGGATAATGGATGATGGATGGATGGATGGATGGATGGATAGATGATGGACAAATTGATTGATGGATGATGGGTGGATGGATGGAGAGATAGATAGATGATGTACAGATTGATGGATAGATAATGGGGTAGATGGATGATAGATGGATGGATAGGTGGATGGATGGATAGATGAATGGATGATGGATGATGTATGGATGGATGAATAGATGATGGACAAATTGATGGATGGATGATGGATAGATGGATGAGAGAGAATAGGATGCCTTTGTTTTCTGCTGCAGATCTTCCAGGACCATCCACTGCAGAGGTATTATGACTACAATATGACAATCATACCCAAACCTCAGGGTCCCCTGCCCAACACAGCCCTCCTCTCTCTTGTGCTCATGGCTGGCACCTTCTTCTTCGCCATGATGCTGCGCAAGTTCAAGAACAGCTCCTACTTCCCTGGCAAGGTCAGCACACACACCCCAGCCCCGCCCTTGGCTACACTGCCTTATCCCCATCCAAAGCACTTCTCCAGGTTCCTCAGTGCCATTAGCTCTCCTCCTTTCCCTATTCCAAGCCTCCCTGACCCCTTTCTCATTTAGGCTTTCACTCTTCAGGCAAGCCCACCACCCTTTCTCAGCGTGTCCAGGCTGAGAACCTAGTGGGGAGCTGGGAAGAGTTCTTAGAAAGGGGTGGAGCAGCCGTGGGGCAAGTGGTGGGGCTGGGCCAGGGGAAGAAGAAAGGAGGCAGGTGCATTGAGATGTAGGACAGGGCAGTAGGTGTTGATGGATCCCCTGGGAAGAGCAAGGATGAAGAAGGATGAAGAAGAGTTGGATGAAGAGGGAGCAGGAGTGGGGGCAAGTGGGAAGTAGGAGGTGGGGAAACAACTGGGCACTGACCTGATTTTTCTGCTTGTCCTCAGCTGCGACGGGTCATTGGGGACTTCGGGGTCCCCATCTCCATTCTGATCATGGTCATGGTGGATTTTTTCATCACGGACACCTACACCCAGGTGACACTCTCCTCCCACTGTCAGCTCATTCTCCCAATATGCCCCCTCCCAAGAACAGTTTTCCCAAACCTGAAGCCAGCTAGAACTACCCTTACTCATTCCTGCCTCCCCTGAGAGCCCCAAGATCTTCCCACAGCCTTACAGGACACCTCTGGCTGAAGCAAAGGCCTGGGACAGATTGCCTTTTACCAAGGCAGTAGGAAAGAATCTGCTTTGGAGCCAGGGAGATCTGAGGATGAATCTCAGTTCCCCCACCAAATAGCTGTGCAAAGCAAAGCAAACTACACAACCTCTCTGATCCTGTTTCCTCATCTATAAAGTGGGGAATGAGAAGATGTTTGTAAAGGGCTTAGTGTAGTGACTGGGTACAACATAGGTGCTCAATATAAATAAGTCCCCAAATGCTCAGGACCCTGGCTCCCTGCCCCTGCCTCCCTTCCTCTGCCCCAATGTTCTCACCAGCATTCTCCTCTCACAGAAACTCAGTGTGCCTAGAGGCCTCTCAGTGTCCAACGCCTCAGCCCGGGGCTGGGTCATCCACCCACTGGGCTTGTATTCGCCTTTCCCCATCTGGATGATGTTTGCCTCTGTCCTTCCTGCCCTGCTGGTCTTCATCCTCATCTTCCTGGAGTCCCAGATCACCACGTAAGGGCAGAGCTGGGCCTGGGAGGGTCTGAGGCAGGGAAAGGGACAGACTCCAGGCAGGCATGACACCAAAGACTGAGCTCTAGTTCCAGTGGAACCTGTGGCCCTCCTGATGAGCAGGAGTGATGGATGGGTAGGGGCAGGTGCAGGTTTTGTGGGACCTGACATGGTATAATTTGGGGAGGTCTTTTGAGACAAAAAAGACAAAATGAGAACTACAAAATGAGATGGCACAACCCGGAAGGGACCTTCACCTGTGAGGCTCCCAGAAGCTCAGCTTCATTGGCTTCAGCGTAAATCTGCCTGTGGACGGGCATTCTAGGTGCTGCTATCTTAGGTGCTGCTATCTTAGGATACTTGCACTCTTAGAGTCTGGATTCTCAAGACAGGATGAGAGGAGGGGAGTGAGGAATTCTAAGGGAGATGAGCACAGCAGGATAAACTAAGATACAGAGGGACCCAAGTATGGAGAAGAAAGGAGGGGGCCAGGAGGGTGGGGATGACGGAGAACGTTACTTACCCCTGACCTCCCACACCACCTCTAGGCTGATTATCAGCAAACCAGAGCGCAAGATGGTCAAGGGCTCTGGCTTCCACCTGGACCTGCTGCTGGTCATAGGCATGGGCGGTGTGGCTGCCCTCTTTGGGATGCCCTGGCTCAGTGCCACCACCGTTCGTTCAGTCACCCACGCCAATGCGCTCACTGTCATGGGCAAGGCGAACATCCCGGGAGCTGCCCCCCAGATTCAGGAGGTCAGGGAGCAGCGGATCAGTGGGCTTCTGGTCGCTGTGCTCGTGGGTGAGTAGGGGCTGGCCACACTCCCTACCACCCTCTGGCCTTGCTCCCAGCCCCCAGCCCCTGCCCCTTAGGATCCAGTGCCTTCTGCAGCCCTGTCCACCCCACAGCCTGGTCTCCCACATGCCCCCTGCCCATGTCTCCCCAGGGTCATCTATTCACGTGAGGAAGTTCTGGAGGAAATGCCCAAGGCCCAAGGCACTGAGATAGACATCTGAGCAGAGGAGGAAGCATGGGGGCGGGGGCGGGGGGATATGTGTGTGTGTGGGGGGGTACTCCATACTGAGACCTTCTCTAGATAGGACCCAGTATTCAGAGCTTTACTCAACAGAAGCTCAGTGAACATTGGGTCCCAGCCCTGCTCTGCTGCTAATTCAGTATCCTTCCTCCTCCTGGGCCTCAGTTTCTCTGTACCCTGAGAGGGTTCATTAGATGCCTCTGAGGTCTCTCTGGCTTGGCTGCTTTATGACTGATGCCAAGGGCAGTGCTCTGGGCATAATCTGGGGTGGGAGAGGAGAAGACAGGATCACTGGGGTTGATCCAAGTTCTGGAGCAGCTGAGAGTACAGCTAGGCTCAGCGTGGGCAGCGCCACAGTCACTGGTGGAGTTGCCAGGGACGCTTCTTAAAGGAGGCAAAGTTGATGTTAGTTGGAGGAGGGTTAGGGTTTGGATAGGTGGAGGGGGATGGAGGTGTTCTGGGCTGGGGCATGGAGAAGTTGGGCTTCTCCGACCTCTGTGAACCCCCGAGGCTAAAGGAGTAGGCTTTAATCTTTCAAAGGCAAGAGTTTGACTCCCAGATCTGCCGCTCTGTAGCTGTGTGGCCTTAGGCAAGTTGGTTCACCTTTCTGAGTGTTTCCTCATCTGAAAAATGAGGGTATTACCTATTAAGAGAATCCACAGAAAGGGCTTCCTAGGGTCCCTGTAATTTCATTCCCCAGCCCCCGAAGCTGTCAGCCTTCTGGGGCCCCGGGCACTGAGAGTGCATGGTTCTCCCTGCAGGCGTGTCCATCCTCATGGGGCCCATCCTGTCCCTCATCCCCCTGGCTGTGCTGTTTGGCATCTTCCTCTACATGGGGGTCACGTCCCTCAGCGGCATCCAGTTATTTGACCGCGTCTTGCTTCTCTTCAAGCCGCCCAAGTACCATCCGGATGTGCCCTACGTCAAGCGGGTACAGAGCCGTCCTGGCTGCTCAGCCCAGAGCGTGGTGGGGGTTGCTGGGTGCCAGGGCTGGGCAGGCAGTAACCACAGCCTCCACCTGCAGGTAAAGACCTGGCGCATGCACTTATTCACGGTCATCCAGATCCTCTGCCTGGCAGTGCTGTGGACAATGAAAACCTTCCCGACCACCTCCCTGACCCTGCCCTTCATCCTCATCCTCACTGTGCCTCTGCGCCGCCTCTTGCTGCCACTCATCTTCAGGAAGCTGGAGCTCCAGTGTGTGAGTGGCTGTTCCCCACCCCTACCCTGCATGCCCGGGGCAGGAGGGATGGTGAGGAGAGGGCAGAGGCTGGAGGCAGGGACTCCAGAGCTGGGGGACAGGGAGGGATCCTCCCAGGGGCTGGAAGAATAGGAGGGGTGGGTCTGGAAACAAAGGCGGTAGAGCGAGGTGGTGAAGATCTAGGTCCGGGGCCCTCATCCAAATTTGGCACTGCCTCGTCCTGGTGTCCAACCTGGAGCAGGTGGCTTCCTTCCTCTATGCCCTGGGTTTGCTCACCTGTGCAGGGAAGGGTAAGGACAGGGATGGAGAGACGGTTAAGAAGCACGCAGGGTGTGTGCCACATGAGCTGTTCTGACCACTGAGCAGCTCTCCATGTGGTCTTCTTTTTTTTTTTTTTTAAGATTTTTTAAGATTTATTTATTCATGAGAGACAGAGAGAGAGAGAGAGAGGCAGAGACACAGGCAGGGGGAGAAGCAGGCTCCATGCAGGGAACCTGATGTGGGATCGATCCCAGGTCTCCAGGATCATGCCCTGGGCCGAAGGCAGTGCTAAACTGCTGAGCCACCCGGGCTGCCCTCCATGTGGTCTTCCAAGTCATCTTGGACAGAGTTGCTCCACTAATAAAATTCTTCCACGACGTGACAGTCACTGTGGGGTTGCCCTAGTGAACAGGTGCCCCACCCTCTGGAGGCCCTCCCCTACCGGGGTGCCAGATCCCCACGGGTTCCTCACCCTTTTGGAAACAACTCATGTAGACCAAACCTAGGGATTGAGGGGGGAGGACGTGACTTGTCCAATCCAGAGAGAGTCATGCCCTCTCCTCACTCCAGAGGTGCTCTCAGCACTGGGGTGAGCGCTCATCGGCCCCATCCCTCCCCCAAATCTCACCCCCTCTCTTTTCTCCTCTACCCTCCAGCTGGATGCTGACGATGCCAAGCCGACCTTCAATGAAGAGGAAGGTCAGGATGAATACAATGAGGTGCACATGCCCGTGTGAGGGGAAGGTGTGAGCCTCAGAGCCCCCTCCACCCTCCCACTTCCCCACTCTCCCAGGAAAAGCAGAAGTTTATGGGTATCTCATCGACTCTCAGATCCCTCCTGGGGTAGCATCTGGAGCCCTGGGGTTGTGGGTGGCGGATGGAAGGGGTTTCCAGGCAACCTTCCACGAGGGATAAACCAAGTTTAATGGCTGGAGATGGTCAGTAGGGTCCACACTGTGGGGAATTTACTGTTAGTCCCTCCCGCTGCCACCCTGCCACGTGAAGCTCCCGAATTGGAGGACTTGGAGCCCAGTCAACCTCTTCACAGCACAGACGGGGCAGTAGCTAGGGAGATAGAGGAGGTGGGGTTCAAGTTCTTGCATGCTATTTGACCTTGGGCAAGCCCCTTGACTTCTCCAGCCTCTGCTTCCTCTTCTGTAAAATGGGTATATTTATAATAATACCCATGTTACAGAATGGTTACTGAGGACCAAAGATAAATGTGAAAAGGGGGCCTTGACAGCTTTGAAAGGGCTATCATACGGTAGTCGCCATGCTTCTTCAGGTCGGCTCAGGGTCACACACCTCCTGAGCCATACAGCTGGGATTTGAACCAGGTCTTCTGACTCTGAGGCCGGAGCCCTATGCTCTACCTCAGTCACCTACCTTCCCATGCCTAGAGATGCTGACTCCCTGCTGACTGCTCCCCTCCCCTCTCTGTTCCCACCCCCACCCAGGGACCCTCTTCTCTGGGGCAGAGGGAGGTGTCCTGGTGAGGACAAGGTGTGGGTGAGGATACAATCAGGGCTGGGACTCAGGACTCCACAGTGCTCACTCCTTCCTGCCATGCTCACACTCATTCACACACTCATTCCACAAACATTTACAGAGGGCCCCAGACCCCACAGATACAGACAGAGGCACCTGAGATAAGATGGGGGGTGGGAGGGCAATGTACAGTCTGTTTTAGATTTGGGGGGGAGGAAGAGGGGGGGAGGAAGTTTGTAATTTATTGTGTATTTTGTAAGAGCTCTCATTGTACCTCAGCTTCGCATAAATGCCCAGGCCTCCAGTTTGAGACGTACTGTCCAAAGTCTCACCCCAGCTGAATCTTGGGGAGAACCCTGATCTGACCAACTAGGGTAAAAGCCAGTGGGTTCTGCAGAATATGGGCATAATCTTTTTTGTTTTTTTTTTCTTTTTTACAAAACAAAAATATAAAGAGCTGAGAGCTGGAAGTGGTGAGAAATGGTTGAAACAGAGAACCAGGGGCACCTGGCGGGAGGCCCTCAGGGCAGCCTGAGTGCTGACAGCCGCTCCTCACCACTTCGCTGGCTTGTGCCTCAGATTCCTTGTCAGGGAAATGGGGACGATAATGGTACCTACCTTGTAGGATTGTTGTAAGGATTAAGTGAGACCATGCATGTAAAGCACGTGCTTTAGCACAGCCTGATGTCAGGCCTCAGAGGAAGTGCTCCATCAATGTTAGCTGCTGGTGTGGTTATCCTCACTGGGAAAGCCCTGCCCCTCCCTCCTCCTGCTCCTTGAACACTGCTAAGGAAAGTGGAAAGAAAGTCACCCACTCTGCTAGCACCCTTCCCCTCAATGCTTGGTTATAGGTTTCGCCAATAAATGCGTCTGTGATGGAGTGACTGCCTTGCTGGAATCTCCCTCCCAGATTCAGGGGTGCCACAGGGTCTTGTCTTGATCAGACCCAGTGGACACGGTATGCATGGTGGGGTGCTGGTGCCAGGGTTGTAACCCCACGGTGGTGGCAAGGAAAGCCAGGCAGTGGCGCTGGGGGCAGGGACAGAACTGGAACCCCCAAGAGTCCTAAAGCGGACACTGGTTGCCAGTGAGAGAGTGGGAGAGCAAGGAAGACATGTTTACACTCTGGACATCCTTCTTCTTCAGAATAAACAAGGCCCATAGGAGTGAGGAGGGGGGCTGTGAGTTGGCCTTGCCCCCTGCCCCCTGTACTGGGGGCCCCAGGGGTCCTCTGGGCCAATCAGCCCCTTGGCCTGCTTGCATCAAGCTGGGCAGCACCTGAGGCGGATCACCAGGGAGGGAATGTGGTTTGCCCTCAGTTCCACTAGAGCCGCATCTCCCGACCAGCTTTTCCACTAACCCTCACTCTGGTCCCTGTGGAGGGCCAGCTGCCTCCAGCATTTCTAGGGGGCTGATGAGCCAGGGCTCACTCGCCCTGGAGAGAGGCTGCCAGAACATAACCCCTCCCCACCCTTCTCAGCCTTCCAGCAAGAGGTCAGTGCAGGGCTGGGCCGCCTGGCTTCCTTCCCTGCATCTATATTTATTTGTGGCCTATCCCCAGCTGACCCTGCCCGGGCTGCCCAGGGCAGCCGCCAAAGGGCCAGAGAGTTACCTTGGCCCCGGGGAAAGCCGCCCAGCTGTCTACCTCCTACGCACACGCACGGCAGCTTCATGTCCCCACAGCAATTGGCCTGTCCTCAGTGTTTGCCAGAACCTCATTGGCCACCTTGAGCAGCGAAGGCATTAGGGAAGTGGGGAGTCTATAGAAAACAATCCCATGACTTCCTGCCTTTCAGAGGCCTCATCCCCTTGCATTTCCTGCTCCCCCTACAGATGCCCTGCCCCACTCTCTCTGCCGCCCCCCACATTTCCTCTAAGAGCTGTCCTTCCGTCCCATGCCAAACCACCAATACTTACATACTTCCCTCAAAATCTCTGCAGTTCTAAATCCTGCCCACCCATTCAACCTCGTTTTTATAAAAGATTGATTTATTTATTTGAGAGAGAGAGCACACATGAGTCAGGGGAGGGTCAGAGGGAGAGAGAGAGAATCTCAAGCAGACTCCCCACTGAGCATGGAAGAGCTGACAAGGGGCTCAATCCCAAGACCCTGAGATCACAACTCTAGGTGAAATCAAGAGTCCAGATGCTTAACCAACTGAGCCACCAAGGTGCCCCTTGTTTGACCCTTTCTTAAAGATTACTTCACTGGAAATTGGTTACCCAAAATGAGGTCCACACTTTTGTGTGAACACAAAGTATAACCCCACTCCAGGTAAGGGCATAATTCAAGAGAATCCAAAATCTCTATACCTGAAGATATTCTTTTTAAATTTTCTTTTTTAATTTTAAGTAAACTGTATTCCACACATATGGGGCTCGAACTCAGGATCGCAAGATCAAGCGTCACATACTCCACCAACTGAGCCAGCCACCCCTATACTTGAAGATATTCTTTATGGGTCTATCTATGGAAGCAAAAAACTAGAAAGAGCCCAAATATATTGTAAGAGGAGAGTGGTTAGAAAATTATAGCAAATTACCTTTCCTCAGTATAATAGACTAGGCAGGCCCTACAAATAATGATGAGGGGCGCCTGGCTTGCTTGGTTAGCAGAGCATGTGACTCTGGATCCTGGGGTTGTTGGAGGGAGCCCCACATTGGGCATTGAGATTACTTAGAAAACAAGCAAATGGCTCAGTGGTTGAGCATCTGCCTTTGGCTCAGGTCATGATCCCGGGGTTCTGGGATTGAGTCCTGCATTGGATGCCCTGCAGGGAGCCTGCTTGTCCCTCTGCCTGTGTCTCTGCCTCTCTCTCTGTATCTCTCATGAATAAATAAATAAAAATCTTTAAAAAAAAAGAAAAGAAGAAAAGAAAAGAAAGAAAGAAAGAAAAGAAAAAAAGGAAAGAAAAGAAAGAAAAAAAGAAAGAAAAGAAAAGAAAAAGAAAAGAAAAGAAAAGAAAAGAAAAGAAAAGAAAAGAAAAGAAAAGAAAAGAAGGGAATCCCTGGGTGGCTCAGCGGTTTGGCGCCTGCCTTTGGCCCAGGGCATGATCCTGGAGTCCCGGGATCGAGTCGCACATCAGGCTCTCTGCATGGAGCCTGCTTCTCCCTCTGCCTGTGTCTCTGCCTCTCCCTCTGTGTGTCTTTCATGAATAGATAAATAAAATCTTTTTTAAAAAAGAAAAAAGAAAAGAAAAGAAGCAAATAATAATGATGATGAAGAAGCTGTTGGATCAGCTTCATGCAATCACATGATCCTGGGCCTCTGAGGTCAATGAGTTTGGAATTCTAGATTTGTGATTTAGTTGGAGATGGACAGACAACCTCATCTCTGAGGTCAATTTTCTGCATCTGTAAGATGGAGGTAATGATATGTCACAGTGTTACTGAGTGGATAAATCAGATCACACACCTCGAGGTCCTAGCCCAGTGCTGGCATTTAGTAAGCAAAATGTTTATTCTTGTTTCTTAAGCAAGGCATGGAGTGCTATGACCCTCAAAGTAACAGCCATGCAGAAGTGGCTTAGAGGCTTAGACAGGAAAAAATGAAAATGCCATGATGGTAGAGTTATAGGGGATATTGATTTTTCCCCTCTTGCATCTGCACCCTTGGTGAGAAGGATTAAATTTGTCATCCTCAGTTCAGGATAGATTACCACTGATCTATCTTTCTTTCCTCTCTCCCTCCCTTCCTTCCTTCCTTTCTTTCTTTCTTTCTTTCTTTCTTTCTTTCTTTCTTCTTTCTTTCTTTCTTTCTTTCTTTCTTTCTTTTTAAGACTTATTTATTTGAGAGAAAGAGAGTGGTGGGGGAGGGGCATAGGGAGCTGGAGGGAGAATCCCCAAGCAGACTCACGCTGAGAGTGGAGCCCAAGGGGTGCTCAATCTCACTACCCTGAGGTCACACCCAGAAATCCCTGACCTGAGCCAAAACCAAGAATCGGATGCTTAACTAGCTGCACCACCCAGGTGCCTCTGACCATTCTCCTTTCTTTACTTCTTTCTTTCCTTCCTTCCTCCATCCTTCCTTCCCCTTTATCTCCATCCCCTACTCCTCTTTTCTTCTCCCTCCATAGGCAGCTATTCTAACATGTTTAACATGTGTCCTTTTGTGTGGGCATGTTCTTGAAAAGATGTCATTGATATTGCTTTACATTATGGAATTTTTAATATATACACAATGGTTGACACGAGTACAACAAACCCCCATATGTTTATCTCCCAGACTCAAAAATTATCAAGATTTTGTCTTAAAATCTTGCCTACATCTTTGCCTAAAATACATTTGTTTCATTTTTCTCTTTTTTTCCTTTTCCTTAACTAAATACTCTAAATTTTTTTGGCTTTTATTTATTTATTTGAGAGAAAGAGAGAGAACGAGCAGGGGGAGGGCCAGGGGGAAAAGCAGACTCCCCACTGAGCAGGGAGCTCAATTCAGGGCTCCGTGGAAGGACTCTGGGATCATGACCTGAGCCCAAGGCAGATGCTTAACCCTCTGAGCCACCCTGAAAGCCCTGAACTTTATTTATTTTTTTAAGATTTATTTATTTATGATAGAGAGAGAAAGAGAGAGAGGCAGAGACACAGGAGGAGGGAGAAGCAGGCTCCATGCTGGGAGCCCGACGTGGGACTTGATCCCAGGACTCCAGGATCGTGCCCTGGGACAAAGGCAGGCGCTAAACCGCTGAGCCACCCAGGGATCCCAGCCCTGAACTTTATTTTTTTTTAAAGATTTTATTTATTTAGTCATAGACACAGAGAGAGAGAGGCAGAGACACAGGCAGAGGGAGAAGCAGGCTCCACGCAGGGAGCCCGATATGGGACTCGATCCTGTGTCTCCAGGATCACACTCCAGGCTGCAGGCGGCGCCAAAGCGCTGCGCCACCGGGGCTGCCCCCAGCCCTGAACTTTAAAATGAACCTCAGATATCATGCCGTTTGACCCCTATATTCTTCAGCTATGCATCATCCCACGAACATTGAACATTCTTACCAACTGCAATGCCACCATCACACCCAAGAAAATGTGCGATAATAATAATTATTGAATCTTTAAAACAAAAAGGGGGGTGGGGAACACCTGGGTGGCTCAGCGGTTGAGCGTCTGCCTTTGACCCAGGGCATGATTGATCCCAGAGTCCCCGGATCGAGTCCCGCAT